GTGTGCTCTTCCGATCTCCCCAAAACCCCAAAACCCCAAAACCCCAAAACCCCGCTCAGTTATTATCAACATTATAAGAAATTATGATTAAAATAAAAAGAAATTAAGAATAGAGTGTGCGAGTGAGATGCGAGATTAATTGCATATAATAAATATTTTTAAATTCTTTCATTATGAAAGATAATCAACAAATCGGTTAAGCTATCTATAAAAGTAATAAATTTTATACCCGATCAGTAATTTTGTTCGAATATTGCTCCTCTGAACCCCCTTTTGGGAATTTTGATATCTAATATTGATTGTATAGTGAGCGAAGGCAAACGCAAGTAACTGTTTAATCACCTTCTAAACGAATTTAGAAACAGCAAGGTAAATATTGGTACTCCCAACTATCTGAGCGGAGCTCCGCAGGGCATGCCCTAGCCATCCTCCAATTTAAGTGGCAATACGCCGTCAACTATCAAGCATAATAAAAAGAAATCGTCCTCAATTGAGAAGAAGCTAACAACCAACACTATCCAGGGCGGAACGGACTTGATAAAGAAGCAGCAGATTCCTAAAAAGAGTAATTAATAGAACCTAATCCATTTTTTTACGATGTTAATAATAATTATGTAGCGGTTAATCACAAAAAATCCAAGAGCTACATTACAGCCAATGTTCAAGATCAACTGAGAGATCAATCGATCAACCACTCTAATCATCAGTAGCAGCTGTACTATCAGTAGATGATGAGAAAGGACATGCAGGTGAATGGCAGCACTCTTGAAAACTCTTTCGGATAAGGAGCTATTTCCAATAAATCCTATGAAAGAATCCTAGCAGAAACCATTGAGGCCTAAAATACAGCTGCGAACTAATTTGGTGGAGGCGCAATTAACTACATCTCAAACTAGTACTATCAAGTCAGTCCTCCGTAAAACCTGATACCCAATGTCCAAACTCAGCACAATATGACTCTTTAGCTTAGCTCTAAGAGAGGCAATGGTAATAGTATTTATTGGAATCCTAATTTTGATAGGTAGTGCAAACATCTCTTAGACACGCATTAATTAGGAGAAGTACGACTCTCAAATGAACCGAGAAAAGTCTTAATCAGGCTATCAGAGCAATAAATCTAACCACAACTCTCACAAGTCCCTCTCAAGCAGTAAACATATATTGATCTACTTACTCACCTTAAACTTTTTTAAATAGACTCAAAATATGATCAACAGCAAAAAAAGAAATCTAGAGGCAGTGATTAGTTCCAAATCAACAGCAATCAGCGCTCCAAGTGCGAATCCAACAGGAATTCCAAAAAGAACTCGCCCAATAACACCATTAACACCTCTAAAGGAACTATTAACATCAGAGAAGCAAGAACAAAACCAACATCACCAGAAAGATCGTATGTACTGATCAACTCTTTTAAGCAGGGAGGTACTAAGGGTAGCTAGGGTAGTAGTTTTGTGATTCCAGGAAGTATGGTTAACTAAAGAGAGGAAAGAAAAGCCCTAAACATGATGTCAAATATCAATTAGAATCAACATTAATAGCAGAACAGCTCTTCTTTATCCTAGAATAATAGAATGTCTCAGAACTAGATTATGAATCATCAGCAACAGAGAATAAATGGATAAGAATTTGTCTCAATCCAGTAGCAAGCATCAAGCAAGAGAAAGAACTTTAAGAACATGTTTTATTCACCTAAGGGTGGAAGAGATGCTTTTACAGAGCCACATTCAAAGTACCCATCCTAGGCTCATACAAAGGAACACTCTCCAGCTCATAAGATGCTTGAGATCTCCTAACAATTTTCTTAGACTTCCAACCCTTAACAGTTACTACCCTCTGCTATCAATCATTCAACTACTCTTGGCCATCACCCAAAGATCAGAGCCTCAGCAAATAAGCCCCCTACTCAACTGAAGAATAAGAGCAGCAATCTTAGTACTGGAGTAGGTCTAATGTACTCTACCAAAGACTCTAATAACAAAAAGCAAAAACTCATGGCTCATAGTTAAATCTAAGAGCTTGAGGGAGCATTTTAGACTAGCTCATTCTTGGAAGAATCTTATATGAAGAATGCTACTAATAACTACTAGATAAGAAGAGATGACATCTCGTTTGACTCATCGAACAACTAATTCTCTCAGACAGGTACCCCTAATCAATACAAAATGAAGTTAAACATCCAGCAACCCAGTAACTAATCAGTTAGTGGCCATGGAGCTGTAAAAAAGATCAATGTTGTTGGCAGAGATGTCCTTCAGAGTTAACTTCAAAATACTTAGCAGCAGATACCTAATCCAATTATGCAGTCTAATTCTACTATTGAACGAAAGCCTAAGAAGATTGTCATGCAAGGTGGCAATTAATATCCACATACTACTGGCCTTAATACTAAAACTAATAGCTAGATTCCATCTCCTACCAATAGCAAACTTTAAAGACCTTAGAATTAACAGAAAAAGTAAAGATTTTAGTCCGAAGCATCTTCTCCTCTTAATCACAATCCACCTATTAGTACAAATGGTATCTAGTTATAAGAACTACCTGCCCATAAGAAAAGAGGTATTAGCATTAGCGGCCATCCATCTGGAGGTAACAACTTCTAAATATCCAACTAGCAAGACAGCATCGAGTCATTCAACAACACTAAGAAATTTTCTTAAAACCCAGCTAAGATGACTTCGTAAAACCAGCAGCAGTTTCTCTTCAATTAATACGTTAAAACTAAGAAGCAGAGGTAAAAGATTGAGTCAAACGAGGGTTCCTTAGAGAGAGGTTTATAGCATGGTCAGACAGTTGGAGCTGGAGTGCATCTACAGCCATTAAATTAAGAACCGTTCTTTGACCAGCAACATCTGAAACACTCAGCCACTGAGCTCTCACCAAGGTCCAAAGAGGTCAATCTGATAAAATCACTTATTAAAGAATGCTTTGCTAAGTACTCAAAACCGCCTAAGACATAAATAGAGTTGTATAAAATAGGTAAAATGCTTGGAAAAGGGGCTTTTGGTAGAGTCAACTTAGGTCTTCACAGACTTACTCGTAGACTAGTGGCTATCAAGACCATTAACATGGAGTTCATGAAGGATGAAAGCAGCAAGAAGAAAATGTCTAATGAAATCAGCATTCTCAAGATGCTCAGACATCCAAACGTAGTAAAGCTTCTTGAAACTTTCGACACTGAAAAGCATCACTTGATAGTCATGGAACTATGTCCAGGTGGAGATCTGTTGAACTACGTCCGAAAGCGCAGAAAGCTCAATGAAAACATGGCTAAGTTCGTGTTCAAGCAGATTATGGAAGGTATCGCCTATCTGCATCAAAACGGAGTAGTCCACAGAGATATCAAGCTAGACAATATCTTGCTTGACGGGCACGGCCACATCAAACTAGCAGATTTCGGAGTGTCTCGTAAAGTTTCAGAGAACAATGAGCTCTTGTTTGAGCAGTGCGGAACACCCGCTTATATAGCTCCTGAGATTGTTAGAGAACTGGGCTACAAAGGATACCCAGTAGACATATGGAGTGCAGGAGTGTGTCTCTATGCTATGCTATATGGAAATGTACCCTTCAAGGCCAATCAAATGGGAGATCTTAACAAAATGATCTTAGATGCGAATATTGAGTACAAAGATACAGCCAGTGAAGAGGCTAGAGACTTAATGATGAGAATGCTTCAAAAGAATCCAAATAAGAGACTGACAGCTGAGGAAGTATTGGATCATGCCTGGTTTGACTAGGTTGATGAGTAGATTAACATATTTGATGAGCAAGAACTAGACCTGATCAAGAAAGAGTTCACCTATGTTTGTCAAAAGGCCAAGCTAAAGGAGCTTAAGTAGCGTAAACCAGACGATCTTAACACTGAGTTTACCGAACATTCCATTAACTCTAATGAGAATACACTGATGAAGAACAACTCAAGTCGGTCAGTCATCCTGTGTCCCTTTAACACCCAGGCAGGTGCAGCAGCCAAGTCGATCTACGAGGACATTAGAGACATGCTCGTAGACAAGGACATGGCTATTAGGTTTAATGCCAGAGTGAGAGAGTGCGATCGACAGTACGAGAAGTTCAACAACTAGGACTTCGATAACGGAGTCTACCATAAGTACGCCTACAACTAGGGCAAGAACAAAGAAGAGGTCGAGGCGCTTAAAGAAGAAGTCATAGACAAAGACGATGTCAAAAACAAAAACCTAGTTCGGAGAGGCAATCGTCGACTCAAACCTGACGCTGACAACCAGAACTACTATATAAAGATTGACGAGAAGATAACTGTCCAGGTTGAGGAGTTTGGGTTCCCAAAGCCTTACATACTCAAGTGCCTGAATGACAACGTCAATAATCACTGTACCACCTCCTACTATCTGCTGTGCATGGACCAGAACTACTGAGCGGAGGTAAACGAATATTATTGTGAAATATATATGCAACTGATAGATAAAGATTAAACCTTTAATCTTATGCCTACAATAACTATATTGATCTTTATAATTTTAATTAAATTTTTCTAACGTAAACAATAAATAAATTTAAGAATGAGGGGTTTTGGGGTTTTGGGGAGATCGGAAGAG